AGTTCAGTCAACGCAAACATCCACGTCAGTTCGACTGCCGACCATCAAGTCAGCAGTTCCTTTTGTCATCTGAAGAAGGACTGCTGGCGTTGGACACTGGTTTTCAGCAGAAAGAAACAAGGGACGGATTTGTAAGTTAATCACAATAATTTTACAGTTTGTTCGTATTAAATATGGTCATGTTAACGAGGTTAATGGATGATGATCCTAAAACGTCAATGCGATATGTTTTGTCGTACCTCATGACACCCGAGGTGGCCAGTAATTTCACGCTACTTGGTACTTCTTCAAAACGAGCACTTCAGAAATGCCGGGTTTACGTCTGCTTACGAAGTAACCTATATCTGTTATTTAAACTACAGTTGCATTAACAAATCGGTTTTTGTCATCCTCATCCAAAAAGACCTTACGAAGCTGTACGACATCGCGACACAAGGTTATTTTCACGATGTCAGAGACAAATTGATAAAGCGTAATAGGAGGAAACAAGAACAGGTATGTACTAGTTTAAAGTGATAATTTCCTTACTGCTCTATAGTTACAGTCAAAAGTTTTAACGAACATAACCGTAAGTGAAGCTTCAAGTATCTGGCTGTGCCAAAGAATGTCATTCAGATATCTTTGTAAATTCTCTCGTTTTTTACACTTTAGAATTCACAAGAAGACTATTTTCATTCTCAATAGCCGAACATGCGTGACTAAAGGAATTAATCCGTGAAATGTTTCTTATGTTCTACCTATTTTTTAATAAACATTATTTTGTAAACGACCTTAATTTCATACTTACATCGGAAACTATTTAAGTGTTGAGAAAAGGTGTTTGATAGTCAGGGAACTTGCGATTAAACACACATGCCTTATTAATAATACATCACCTGTTTCTTCTTTTGCAGATCTTTTCAAATAACAATGAATTGGCAATTACAATAAAAATGCATAACGATTGATGCTCAAGCTTCTGCTGCAATGTTGTGCAATATTACGCTTCTCCTTTTCAATAAAATTATTCAAACATATACCATTTTTCCCGTCGATGGCAGTTTTAGTGTGGTTTGTTGTGGAGATAAAGGCGAACATACGAGACCTTTTAGTTTATGTCAATGGTATTTTAAAAGTTGAAGCAAAAGCAGACAATTCAGCGTATATCTAGGCGAAAAGTAGAAAATTTAGCGGACATTTAGACAAGAAGTAGACAAGTCAGCGACACTTGAGCGAAAGAGCGACAAAAAGGAGGAAATCCTCATTATTTCCCCCTGGTGAGGCGAAAAAGTAGACATTTTGGCACGTTTCCCCTTTATTTTCCAATGCATTTTCCTCTTTGTTTCCCCTTTCTTCGCCTTTATTTCCCCTCTGTTGGTTGATTAGGTTGCTTAATTTGAAACATACTTTTAGAGATAGCATAAGCCTTAATTAGTGTCGTTCTGAATAGGAATTAATTAATGTAGATTGAAACAAGGGGGCACTCGGTAAATGTGTGAACGCTAAGATAAACCGTTGTCAGTAGATGCCTACATATTGATCATGATTGTCCCACCGCAATCACTGATCAAACGACTAACCGTACACTGACAGTAATCGATCCATCACTGAGGGTGCATGTGGCTGCCAAACCAAATGTCGATGTTCTCCACTCAACATCCAAAAGCATTAAAGATACACCTTATACGCATCATCTCATCCCCCATTACCTCAAGATAGGTCACTAGTGTAATGAAATACTTTTTGGTTTCCGTTGCTCACTATCTGATGTAAAATCATGATGAAAACAACATTCAAATAACTACGAGTCTGCATAAATCCCCCTTAAAAGAAATCTAAATGACGTACTTCGGTTAATAATGACATAATTATTTCGATGTAATCATGAAACTCATCCACCTGACGTTGGATCAAAGCAACAACTCACATGGCTTTATGTAAGCTTTATCTAGGCACATTCAAAGCATTTTAAGTCATATCATTCATTTTACGCACTTCGTTAGAACATTAGAACTAGTGAATTTTGAAATCTGAAGACACTTTAAAAAACTTGCTTTCGTCTGGCCTAGTTAAAAACCCATATCAACGAGCTTATCTGGGACTATGTCATCTGGGGACCAATTCTCCACAACGATGACAAGAACCAGAATTTTTGAACTGCAATAAAAAATACTTCATGAATTATACTCCAGCTATAAACGCCTTACCCAGGTTAAAGCACTAGTTGGATGAAACTTTATTAAAAGTTAATTCGCAAACTGGAAATTCACTTTTCATGTTAATATATATACGTTAATTGTTATAAACACTATAGAAATGAGGGACTTTACTTAGTTCACCAGGCTAGTGCGTGTTCTGATTTGATACGGTACCAAATATCCACAATTATAGATGGTTGATAATTCTAGTGAGTTTAACTAATTCCGCAGTGGTATAATCCAGCGTAGATTATGATATATTCCGATTACAGTCTATAAATGTAGACAGTATTTGACTTAGAGTTCAGTTAACGCAATCACAACTGAATGTAGAACGAGAGGTATGTGCGCAAAAATGTATTTGTTAGCAGTCAAAAGTGTGTCATGCTATAAATGTAATACAACGAAAAGTGAGTTCAAGGTCATACACTTAATGATAAATATACATGCAGTGAAAAATTGACAAAATAAATACAAATAACATCAAAAACTGTTTACAAAATGAGCTTGTCAGGCATATCTCCATAAATATCTTACCAATAGAAATTGGAATGTACTATAACAGAATGAAGCTTTTAAGTTAGAACACAGCACTGTGGTTTCAACGGGCATCTATGCAAATCAATACGAAATATAAACCAGTTGATCAAATGAATAGCTAAACAGCATCACAACACAAGCAAATAACCAAATGAAGGATGAATATAGAAAGTACATTGCTGACTAACATAATTAAAATTTAATTCTTCGGAAAAGAATATATGAAAAAAGTCGATATATTTAATCCATAAATACCGATTTACCTCGATAAACCATATGTCAACAGAACGCTTACCAATGGACATCCTGGATGGTTTCATCAAATGACCAAGTTGTTAAAAAATTGGATTATGATGAACTTCTGGAGAAAATAAGTCTACAGAGGAACTCAAATAAAACTGCGTATTTAAAATTCATTGGGTATTTTGAGAGTTAAGAAATGTTAATATACCAAAACCTCATGAAGTTTTAGGTTGTTTCATTGTATAAGAAAACATTTGGTGACCTTGATATCTATAACGATTTTTTGAGAAAATTTAAAAATGAACAAAAATTGTCAAAACAATTTTCACTATTTAGTAAGCTATTCGGAGTGAAGATTGTAAATATCATCTCTATAAATAAAGCATGGACTATTTGCGGCTCCCCGATAAGGCTGTTAAACTTTCTGAACTACTGGATCTAGCTCTTGGAACACCTGATGTAATAGTTATAATATAAATCATAAATTTATTTTAGCCAGGGTCGGTTAACTTCGGAATATTGTATATCATTTTATCACATATAATAAAGCACCTCAAACTCAGCGATGTGGAGCCAGATGTAGAGAAACCTTCAAATGAACCACGGTCACAGAATGAAGCAAAAATATCAACTTCTGAATTGGCCCCAAATATATTCCATAATATTCAAGTAAGGTTGGATTTATAAGTTTCACTCTTTAATCGTAAAATTTTATACTTGAGGTCATTCGACTACCTTTAAGGAGCTTTTTATGGAGCCATTGTACATCTGTGTCAGTTATTAAAATCTTCCTTAAGTAGTCATATACTGCACAATTAATCAAAATCGGCTTCTGAATAAATAACTTTCGGTGAGACTATGGTTTATGGATGAACCATTCAGGTATAAGGTAACAGGTATCGGGCTTTGGCGTAAAATTCACTATTCCATTTGAATAAATAGAGTTTTAGCATTGTAACCGGTGTCAGTTCGTGATGAAAAACCTAAATCTAATTCCTAGCCCTGACCACCAAATGTAAATCATAATCCGAAATACTCGCACTAATTTATAACCCACATTTGGTTCTAGTTATCAGGTGGACACTCTACAGGTCAGTCTAGCGTCGCTCAAAGATTGCCCATAAATTACAGTCCCACCATATTTTCTTCGAGCACATTTTTAATTACAAAAATCAAATCAGCTCTGTATACTACACAATAAGATGGATATTTTAGTACACATTATCAACCAGGTATACGGATAGTATAATAACATAATAACTTATAATTCACCACTTTTAGTAGATATGTATAATATTCTCTACTACAGTTTGGTGATTATAATAACTTTACGTAAATCTATGTATTATTAGTAGACAAAAGTCAAACAAGTACCTTAATTCTCTGTGAATACACTTTTTTAGAGCGTGAATAACTAAATTTTACTAAAGTTTTAGATCTTAAATATTTGTAGACGGATGTTCAGTCAATAAACAGTTCAGTTTTCAGTATCAAATTAAAATATTTGAATTCCTACTGAACTGAATAGTTTATTTGACTCACTGTTTAAAACCGCATAGTAAGAAACAAAAACGGAGACATCATAGCGTAAATATTTCGTTACGGCATACGTATATGAATGGTCGAAAAATTTATTCTAATATCTGCTTAACTTGTTGTTATTATATCTTCTCATGTCAATGTCAAGAGTCCTCAGAAATTAGCTTAAATCACAGAAAATTCTTTATATATCCCTTTTTGCTTTACAAGCCGTAGGTATTTACATTTGTTAAATAACTGTCTGTTTAAAATAGAATTTAGGGGGTTTGAATTTTATACGGTTGTTTAAACTTGATTTTTGAATGCTTTGTGTTGCGTGGTATGCTTTTACAATAAATATCATCGTTTTTCGTAGGGGTAAAGTATAGGAGAAGTAACGTAGGATTAAGTAGCTAGCTCAGAAGTAGCGGATTAGATTAGATACCTGTAACTATGAAATGATATCAAGCGGATCGTAACCCGGATTTGCTATCCTCTTGGCATTAAATTTCTAACAGTTCAATGTCTCATAAAGTGTTAGCATATTCTGAATCGGTACTCATAAATGTTTTACAGCTAAATTTTGCCCAAGCAAAAACTATTCAAGTAGATTTTAACTAAAGTTTTATGTTTAATAAATAGTTTACGACTAGAGTTAGTTTTATTCACAATATTTTCTTATTAAGTAGTTCAATATTCCTTTGAGAGAAGATAATAATTTAATAGGAATTTTGTGGCTATTTTGTTATCCGACGCCAATTCTTTAGTCGCAAATCAACAAATATGATTGTCAATCAAACCTAGGATATTTAAATGATAGACCATCTTTTTATCCACTCGAAATCCAATGATGCATACCAAATAGTAGTTTTATTTAGGTCTAAAAGAATTCTAAATGCAGTAACTTGAACTGATGGGCTAATGCATTAGGTTTTACCCTTTTTCAACCAATTGGCAATATAACAAGCTTTTTGAGGAAAAAATTAAACAATACCAAGATGATACTGGAAATAAATGAGAACTTTGAAATGTGAATCAAAATTCATTTCAACACTCACCTTATGCTCTACCAAATATTCTATAAGACAAAAGCTGGACATTTATCCAATATTCTTTGAATAAGAAGACAATCATACATTGTACTTCATAATAATGAACTTAGATTGGTAACCAATTCAATGTTGTTTGAATATTAGTGCTAAATGTATTTGGTCTGGAATGTTTACAATACACTCACTATTCCAAATGACTAATAGTTAAAATTCATCACTATTTAATGTTAGGCAGTTTGGAGTGAACGGCAAAACGATGAGACAAGTATGATAGGTACTTCGTACTATAAGATGGTCCAGTCCTTCTTCTCAACTTTTATGACACTCCCAGTGTAGTGAAAGTAAACTCGAATATAGTGAACTGTCAAATTATTTAATGGGAAACCACACATTGGTTTTGTAAAATACGAAAATCATACATTGGACGCATTATTTACACATTTTCCTTGAGCCATCTTTAATATAATCTATCATTCTTCCTGTTCCAATGTTATTCCGATTGCTCTCTGTTTTTCTTCATGTTTTCTTCATTTCAATCTTCTGCTTTTAAGCATTATACTTCCAATTTATGCTAATTACTACTTATATTTGTTCGCATAAGTAGTGCACACTACACTGGCACGTATATATATTACATAGTTTGACTTAAAACTAGTGACAACGGGTTAAAGCCCCAATGTTCATCATCATTGTATAAAGTAACAAAACATTTAGACCTATTCAGTCTCTTGATAAAAAATCACGAATTTTCATAGCAAACCTCAATACCCTTGTGATTATATTGTCAAGTAAATGACCCTACCAGATACATATAACTTTGATGTTCACTTTTATAAGCAATTGATAATCATTCCTTGATAAAGGATCAAAATAATATTGAATAGCGGAAATGATGACATTTATGATGCTTTTATCATCAGAAATTTCGAAAATTGGTTGAAATAGTAAAATAATATTCATTACCTACTAACTTATACTTTATACGACTAATTAGTCTTACTACGATATACTAAGTCAGTGGATAGTTAAAAACTTTCATGCTTGTTAAAAATAACTTTACAGGTCAGGAAAAGCTAAACTGTATTACTTTTGTTAAAACTAACAGAAATCTAAAGCTTTTTTTACTACTGACAAATCATGATAACAAAGAGTAGTAGATAATAACCAAAACATCTTGACACATACGACATTGGTCACTACGAAGCTATCAATCAATTGCAAATATGTCTTAACTTAAAATGTCTCTTCAATTGTTTTGTATTTACAATTTGAGTAATGATGGTTTTTCATTCAGTTTGACATCGTTTAGTTAGGAATATATTGACAATATTTAAAGTAGCGTTATACGATCCAACGGTTACATGACATCTGTAAGCTTGAAAGAAGCATTTCTACGAAGTCAACTTGCTGATAAAAATATCTATCCAATACTTTCTATTGTACAACTCATTTTTAAAGCTCTGTAGTGACCTACTTTTATCAAGAGAACGCGATTGGTTTAATGGAAACAATCATTATTATAACCATTTGTACCAGTGATTGTTTTACTGTACTTATTTGTTTGACTGCACTAAAGACGTCCATTATTCCTGCTTTTTTGTTGTGACCTCGCGCGAATTCGGTTACGTTCAGTAACCAAGCTTGTATCCTGGCACGATCTTGGTATTATTTCGATACCACGAGATCGCCATCAAACATATCTCGACTACATCCATTAACTGCCTTCTGATATTTGGCTTCCGGGGGATTTTATCGATATTCTGTACGCAACCTTCTTGTAGTGGTGTTCATAGTCTACTGCGACTCAACACCACGCTACAGCTCAAACCAAGAGGTGAAAAAATGAAGTGAACCCAAAATAAATTAAAACTTAATTGTTTTCTTGATCTAATTTTAAGATCTTAGATAAATATGATTAAGTAATCGTATTGAAAGTTATTTTACGCTAATTAGTGTATAATGAAGGTGGGACTGTGCTACATTATTAACAGAATGATTCAGAATTCATAACAAATATGTTTTTATCAGTATGGGATTGTGAAGATGATTATGTTTTTTATTAAGATCATGAACCGATTGATGTTAAACCATTATTGAAAACCTGGAGGTATTGGATGACGGTTTCATCCTATTATGGGCCTCCTCAGCGGTGCATATTCACGATCCCGCTTGTGGAGTAAAACAGACGTCCAGTGCTTCCAGGTTTTCAATGATGACCTAAAATCAATCAGTTCATGATCTTGCTGTGCTAATGAGATGTGACATCTTGGACCGATGCATATATGTGCCTGGTCCTACATTGTAGCTGACTGACTGACTTTAGTTCGGTCATCAGAAAACATTGAATTATCTTATGAAATTGCTCACAATCGACGTCCTTTTGTTTAAACGTTCTGATCCTATAGTTAACTGCTTGAATATCTTACTGAAGACCTCTAGGATTATAGCTCTGAACAGCCTACATGATTTGACAGACGTGGTTATTTATTTATTTAATGCAAATTTATGAATGGCTCTGAGATACTTTAAATATAATAGAAATTTGTATAAATTAAATAGATCAACAACTAACACACAACAGTACAACAGTTTTACATTATTGACGATTTACATGCGATTGAAGAAAGGAAATAACTGTAAATAAACGTTGTTATGTGTATAGAACAAGGTAACCAATATAATAGATTTCAGTTATATGGTTAAATGTTAATGGTAACTAAAAATAACAATGTTGGTGAAAAACGAATAGAAAACTGTTCGAGATTATAATTTCTAACAGCTGATTATTGTAACCAATGGTTGGAGACTCTGAGTGACCTAACTTGGAATCGATCACAATGACGTTGGTGTATACACTCTCTGTACTCCCTTAAGCTAAGAGATTAAAATCGCTTCATATCTTTCTTTCTACGAGCTATACCCTTATACATAATCTTTCTTTTATATTTCACTACCATTGATTTGACTACTATGAATCCGATGTTCATATTGTTGTTCCAATGAGGGATGACAACTTAGACCAATGCAGATATGTGCCTGGTCCTACGTTGTAGCTGACTGACTGACTTTGAAAATGTTTCATTTTTTAAGATAAAAATGATCTTTACTTTCATAACAAGGTTGATTTGATGATCTCCATGATTGTAATAATGAATCAAGCAATTTTAAAGGTTCTTCAGTTCCTTATTGTTTAATAAATCTCATATATAACTTTTCTTGTAACTATGTAGATAAACCTTAATGGAAATCGACTGAAAACTGAAAAGCAGACTGATAAACTGACTACTAACATTTAAGGTGATGTTTTCACCCGGATACTAGAATGACGTCTTCTGATATGATTATTGATTTAACCACAATTTTATTCCATAACTTCTAGTGTTTTCCAATTTTCTTCAAATGCATGTTGCGACTATGTAGCCTGTCATCGTTGTCCATTACATTACATTCATTGGTTTTTTGACTTTTGAGAAAGCATAAGTTGGTGAAATGCCCCTTACCACAGTTCTACATTGTAGATGTTAGAGTTCTCATTACTTTGCGTGATCCAGTGCAAGAGTGTAGTGCAGGGAATTCTGAAAGTTCAAAATCTGAATCATGTTAATAATGAACTGTATAAAATTCAACATCACATTGCTCGTTAGAATGTATCACAGTGGTGGCATGTATAGTATTTGGTAGCATCATTAGTGAAGGTTCACGTGGATCTTTATGTAATCAATGTAGTTAACCCTATTTGAAGTTTGAATATGTCATTTAAGTAGCAAGTAGGGTATTACTAGGAACCTTAAACTAAACAACATCCCGTCATCTACTGGACATTTCCATCACTTAGAACAATTATTTCAACTGAAATTCAATTTTAATCAAATTATTCAAATACAATCATAATGAATTAAGTCTAAATTTATTACAATATGGGCTTGCTTACTTACGCCTGTTACTCCTCCTGGAGGAGCATATGACGCCCACCAACACTCTCCATCCAACCCTGTCTTGAGAAATCCTTCTAAGCTCTTTCCAGTTGTTATTCATTCTTTTTATATCTGCTTCTACTTCCCGGTGTAATGTGTTCTATAGCCTTCCTGTTTTCCGCTTTTCTTCAGGATTCTGAGTTAGCTCTTGCCTCTTGATGCAGTTTGGTGATCTCCGTATTGTATGTTCTATCCACTTCCAACATCTTTTCCTAATTTCCTCTTCAGCTGGAAAATGGTCTGTTCTCTCCTACAGAAGGCTATTGATGATGGTTTCCGACCAATGAATGCTGAGTATCTTGCATAGACAACTATTTATAAATACTCGTACCTTGTTGATGACGATTGTAGTAGTTTTTCAAGTTTCATCTCCATACAGTAGAACTTTCTTGACGTTCGTATTGAAGATTCTCTATTGGATATTGGTTGACAGACAGTTGATTTGAATTCTAGATATTCTTCAATTGTAAGAATGTGTCCCTTATTACAATATGAAGGCATTTAAGCATAGTAACCTTTCAAATCAAACTCAATAAATGATAATCATTCAACCTAACTATTTGGAATTCATAAACAAATA